CTGGGCTGTGTGGTGGTGGTGTAGGGGCGGCTGGGAGAAGGGGAGCATGCCCGCCTCCATTCCCATCATCTGGGCTGGCGAGGGGGGAGAGGTGTCAGGACGTTTGTCTAACAACCCCTCTTTAAACAAGCCCTCTGTGCTTTGCCCTAGAGCTGCTGAGAGTTCAGCTTGCCCCACCATCCATCCCAAACAGGCAAAGACGGAAAAAGCCGTGGCCCAGGACCACGCCGAGAATGGCGAGTGCCTGGCGGAGAGCCGGGAGAGCAAGGAGTTTCAGATCGCAGCAGCCGAGGCGATGGCAGCCGCCACCCCCACGGCGAAGTCCTCGAGCGGCAAGGATGCCGTGCAGCAGGGGGGCAGCCAGGCCTCACTGCAGGAGGAAGACCCCGAGAGGATGAAGCACAGTAAGATTAGAGCCCGGGGCTGTGCTGCTTCAGGAGCCCAGAGGGGGCTGTCCCACGGGAAGGGACGGGGCTCTGTTCCAGCCAACGCTGCTGCGGGTGTCTCTCTGAATGTATCCAAGCCTTTTTTCAACATCCCGATAATTTGCCCCCCCCCCCCCGTTTTTTGCCCCAGAGAGTTAAAACCAGGTTGCAGCTGTGGTAGAGGTATTTCTATAGGACCTACAGGTTTGGAAATGGATTGAATACCCTGCAGCATAGCGAGCTCCTGTATCAGCCCATCTGTCCTCACCGAGTGTGACAGTTTAAACCAGGGTGGATCTGGCAAATGTGTTTTCCTTAAGTATTGGGACAGGGTAAGGAGGCTCACTCTGTCCGTTACCGCTGTGGGGCTGGCAGGCAGGGCCGTGGTTGTCCCCATCATGGCATGGGTTTACACTGCTTGCAGCGCCAAAGTGAACCACCACCAGCCACCTTAGCTGCTGAGGCTGTGGAAACCACGTGGCTTTTGGCACTAGGCAGAGCCACCACTTCCACTCCTTGAATTAGCCCTGGATACCATTATTTCTCCTGATTTTGTGGGGTGGGAAGCAGCATCCTGTTACTGTTTGGTGGGTGGGTGCTTCATTTAGCAGCCCCTGTATTTCACAGGGGTAAAGGCCTCCTCAAGGTGATCTGCTCCTGACATGGAGTATGTGCCCACCCCGTGCCCTGGGACTGCTGAAGCCCCCCTGGCAGTACAGTTATTTGACCAAATCTCTCTCTCTGTTTCTCTCTTTTGAGTCAGGAAGGAAACAGAAAACTCCTAAGAAATTTACGGGGGAGCAGCCATCCATCTCGGGGACATTTGGACTGAAAGGTAATACGGGGACGACTCTGGTCAGCTGGTAGGGTTGTAGCTTCCCCAGGAGCCCTCCCTGTGGTGGAGATACATGGGAGCCACCTGGAGCCTGGGGACATCACACTGGAGGAGCTGGTGCCTTTGACCGTAAGAGCGTTGGAAAGGGAATGGAAGGCAGCAGCAGAGCTGGCACTGATAACACCCCTGCCTGCTCTGCTCGGGAGCCTGTCGCTGGGAAGTGAGGGAGGAGGAGAAAGGATCCGGGTATGTCCAGCCGTAATGCAAGAGTAAGGAGCTGCTGACACAAGCAAGACATAGGAAACATCATCTCATCGTCCTCATCCCACCATCCTGGGATGTCACAGTATTTCCCATAGCGTCGAAAGGGTTTCTGCTGCGTAGAAAGGCTGGGTGACGCATCCGTCCCTCAGACATTGTCTCCAATGCTGGTCGCCCACATTCAAGAAAATTAATTCAAGGGGGAAGAGACGTGTTACCGGGATGTGTTCTGAGAGGAGGCTCAGGAGCTGGCTGCTTCAGCCTGACAAAGCAAGAGCGAGTGGGACTGTGGTCATGCTCCATAAATACACCCAACTGGGCTGGAAAGGAGGGAGGAAACCTGGAGCATCCCTGGCACGAGAGCAACTGGATTCGGACTGGCTATGAAATACGTTCAATCAGGGAAATGAAAAGCAGATTTCCAGGCACTGCAGGAGGCAGCACCTTCCAGTATGAGAGGCACTCAGGGGAGAGGCACTAATGGCTTCGAAGGAATTAAACACTTATCGAAGAGCAGGCTGGATGCGGTCTCTGCGATTTCCTTTCCCCTGGCTCCCGGGAAGTCTGGGGTTGTTTCCCTTAACTTCCACGCAGAGGCACTGCCATAGACTGAAATGTCTGCTGTGGGTTCCTCCAGAGTAAGCTGGTCCCCCCAGTGACCCGCTGCCTCAAACGGAGAGTGAAGATCAGGCAGGCGTTTGCCTGCACCCCCCGGGTTCAACGTGGCAGTTCGCTCCCCAAAGACAAGGGTGCCACCAGCCCGTCGCGGGGTGCTGTCTCCGTTCAGACCCTGGGTTTGCAAGAGTCACAACCCACAAGTCCAGGGGGACGTGGACCCTCGTGGGTCAGGTGCGGATCTGACCCTGGCACTCACCGTGTTGCCTCCAGCATCTTCTGTGGAAGCACAGGCAGAGGGTTGAACTGCACATGGATTTGGGGGGGTGGACCCAGGGGACAGCCCCCCTCCTCTCTTCGCCAGCCTTTCCAAAGCGTCGTTTACAAGTCACGTTTTCCATTTCTTATGTCAGCCCAGGAACTGCCGAGGGATTCTGCGCGAGAGAGGGGGATCGGGCAGCCCTGCCGCCGCTGGCACGCTCTCAGCGTGTGCTGACCCTCCTCCTGCTCGCTTGGCCCTGCTCAGTGCAGGGAGGATGCTTCGGTGGTTGGCAGTGATGCCTTTAGCAGGCTGAATGGGAAGCACATGCTTTGCCCGTGCAGTCATGTGGGGATGAGGCACAGACAAGGTGGGAGGGTGGATGCGTTCGGGAGAAGCTGGCTGAGAGCCCGGCGCTCTGCCCGCACGGAGAGCCCTGCCTTCAAGTTCCTCTCTGCTTTGCCGGCAGGCTTGGTGACAGTCGCCAGCAACCCAGGGTAACTGCGCCAGGTTTCCTCTTCCCCGTGCGCCGGTCGCCCGGTCACCCCTCCTCTCCTTCTGTTCCTTCCTGACCCTTCCCAGCACCTGGAGGGACTGGGAGGGACCTGTGTTCGTCGTGACAATTGCATACAGATCCAGGGGTGAAAGGTCCTGCGGGATCTGGTGTCTGGGATCCCAAAGTTTGTCCAGTTTTCTAAGAGGGACCCCAGTTCCTTGGCGTAAGCAGTTAGACAGCCTTCCAGTGCAGGAGCATCAGCAGGAGCCTCACTTTTATATCCTGAATTGGCTGTTCCAATTCCCCCTTTCAGTTTCTTGCAGAATGCCCTTTTGCCTCCTCCCCAGCCTGTCTTCCCCACAGTCTGCCTTGCTAGAAGCATCCTACCCCGCTTTGCCATGGTGCTTCCATAGTTCATAAACTGTCTGGGTTGGGGGAAATGATTCTGTTTATAAAACACCACAAGCTGTTACGATATTGCTTGTCATAGTTACGGACCTGATCCTACACACACAACCTTGGCAGACCTACAGCCAGCTCAGCGTCCCTGGGTTAGCGGTAGAAATTTTTTACCTGCTAAATGTGAGTTGGTCTGAGAGTATTAAAGCAAGTACTGAATAAAAATCCTCTCTCTTCACAGGTCTCGTCAAAGCAGAGGACAAGGCAAAAGCCCATCGAGCCAAGAAGTTGGAGGGGAGCACCAACACAGAGGAGCTGAAAAAGAAACCTTCAGGAGCTGGTGTGAAGAAGGAAACGGCTGTGCATCTACCAGCAGGTGAGGCTGGTGGAAGCAAAGCACAGGCAGCAGCTCTGTGTGCAGCTTAGCTGCTTATCCTGTGCTCTGCTCCAAGCCTGCACGGTCCCCACCTTCACGCCAGGGTCCCCACCTTCACCCGCAGCTAGTGGTCCCTGCACCCCTCCTGGCCCAGCGGGCTGTTTGCTGGGTGAGTTTTCTAGCAGGTCTGCGAGCAGAAGCAGCACAAAATCAGAAGCAGGAGCACGCAGCCGCTGCCCTTCTGAGGTGTAGCAGAGATGTGGGGACAGCCGCTGCTCCTAAAATATTGGTGCAGCCACAGCTGACATCCCAAAAGGGTTACTCTACCTTCGCTTCGCTGCCAGGAGAGACCACTGCAAGTGTTGGGAGATGATAGCCAACTCCTGGTTCCACCTGGCTTCACTGTGACCACAATTTGGGTCAGCGTCTGGGATGATGGCATTTTTCTATCGTCATATCCGTGTATGATGCCAGTGCATAACTCCGGGCATAATTATGTCTTTTCCAAAGTGCAGCCTACACCCTAGCACAGGTTGCTGACTTTCCCTGGGAGCTCTGACAGCAGGAGGAATGCAGGATGTGCAAGATAAACACAGCTGCAATGCCTTACATGGCTTTCAAATTCAAATAAACGATTCTCTGATCTCACAGCCGTGCAAAAGCATCCAAATAAACAGACTTGGCGGATTTTATTCAGACCGGGCTTCCCTTGCTGGAAGCCCAGTGCTGTTCTGCTGAGAACGCGGCGGGAACTCTGGACCTGGGAGCAGGTTTTGGCCCCACGTATCTCGTATTTGGGGTGTTTTTTAAGCTGGTCACAGCCATTCAAATAAACACATGCCTGAAAGCTAGCACTCCCTAGCTGCCCGTGTGTCTGCCGGGAAGAGGAGTGCCAGGGAAGCTTTCCAGGCGCACGTCCGGATGGAGCCGAGATGCTCACCTTTGTTTCACTCCCGCTAATTGTTTCGTTTGGCAGGGGGGAGTTATTCCACGCAGGGCAAGATGAGGTGGCCGGGGGTATCATCACGTTTTAACTCCCAGTGTGCGGGATACCAGCGGGGTTGGAAAGGTGAACCTCCTTTTCTCCATGAAATGCCAGCAGGTCAGGTAACTCCACGTAAAGTGGCCCAGTGACCCAATTTGCTCAGGCAGCTGCAGGAGGTGTGGGGCAGGCAGAGCTGCAAGTGCCTGCATGGTTTGTGCCTGGCTTGGCCCATGCCTGGGAGAGTATTTCTCTCTTTTTAACATCGGGGACTTTTCCCAATTCAGCGCTTTTCGACATAGCAAACCAAGGCTTACAACAGTGCTGTCCTCTGCCGAGCAGCCCAGGCAGCTTGTGGTCTCCGCGGCTGGGTGTAACACCTCTCTCCTCTCCCTCGCCAGCAAACCCTGAGGACCAGTGGCAGCGGGAGATCAGCGAGAAGGGAGAAGTCGCCTGTCCAACCTGCAGCGTTATAACCAGGAAAACCATTGTGGGGCTCAAAAAGCACATGGACGTCTGCCAGAAAGTAAGGACTTGCTTTATTCAGTCACGCACGTGTGGATTTTGGAGGGGAATGGACGTGTACGTGTGCCACTCATAAATGCGTATTGGTGTTCCTAAAACCAGTTCTGGGCTGTGTTTGATAGAGCACTTGCTAGTCATCTTCAGAGAGCTGGCTGCCTCGCATCGATTCAGAGGGGTTTGGACACCTAATTCTCAGCGATTCTGAATCCCTTTGTGGTCTGGGCCCCTTGCCCCAGTGTCTCCAGCAGAGTTGGGTATTTCTAGTAGCTAAACAAATAGTTCTAAGGCTGGAGAGATCGTTGGGGTTGTCCCTAATCTGGCCTCCTCCGGAGTCCTGGCTGTGGGATTTTGCTGTGTGCCATGCCTTGCATCAGGCCAGATAAATTGTGGTTGAATGAGAGCACGTCTCGGGGAGACACAGAGCTCGGATGTGCTCAGGCAGGCTGTCAAGGCGCAGCAGTTCAGTAACGGTGCAGTGAAAAATTGTCTCTCTGCCACACGGCCATCCATCAGAGCACAGGATTATGTCTTCATCCGTCACCTGGCGCGGTGCAGAGCCGTCGCCACAGAAAGCCAAACGTGGGATCGATGCCTCGCGCTTTGAAAATATGTGGCTCGGCTTTGGTTCCACATTCATTTTCTGTAAATGCCTCCTCAGCCTTTGCCTCACTATTTATGCAGCAACGGGAGGCTACTCTCCCTTTCAAACCCTGTACTACATCAATGCCGGGCAGAATCTTGCCTCCTCGGACATCCTCCTGGCTTCAGTGGAGTGGGGATGTTGGCCATCACTGCTCATATCTCCTGCGCTTTGGGGCATCTCCCAAGCCAGGAAGGCTCCGTGCGGGCTGCACGGCCAGCCAGCGTGCTGAACGTGACTGTGCCAGAGCAGTCAGGCCTGTGTTCCCCACTATAAATAGGCCAGTGGGTGTTCAGCCGAGGAACCGAGGCTGTAGCCCAAGGAGCGGGTGTTTGTCACCCTTCCCTGGGAGGCACGGTCCTTACTGGGGCTGGCTGTGCCGCTCCGGGAGCTGGGGTGCTCTGCAGCGTCCCTGCCAGAGCAGCCTGTGGCCCAGGGGGGACAGTCCCCGAGCTCTGTGTGTGTGACCACAGGTCCAGCTCTCAGCATTTCATCTCTGAGGTGAACCTATGGCACATCCTTAGCGAGGCCCCGCTGCTACAGGCACGTGGTGTCCCCATCAGAAGTGACCCTGGAGTGCAGGCACCTTCTCAGCTTGCTCTCTGCTTTAATGATTGAAGTATTTCTTAGCTGGACAATGGGAAAAGGATATGCAGGCTCCCAAAACTCTTGTAAAACAGCGGAAGTTGGTTCCTCCATTCCTTGCTTGTCACTAAGCAGTCTGCCCTGTTTCCTTCGGTTTTAGAAAGGAAGTAAGGGATGGGGATGGTTGCAACATGCTTGGGCCGCAAAGGAGATGAGGTGAGAGGGCTTGTTAGAATATGGACATGGCATGTTCTTCGGTGTTGACCGGAGGAGTAACCCCCAAATTGGCTGGCATTGGCATTTGATGAGTCAAGGAGCTTTTAGCATCTACCTTGTTAGGATCAGCGCTTGGGTCTGGAACAAGATTAACCGATGGGAGCACAGGTACAAGCGAGTCACTCCCAACTGGCTGCAGTGAGTTTATTCTTCATTTCCCCAGAGCTCCAGGGTGAGGAGGGATTTGCAGCTCCATCTTCATCCCCTCTCCAGCTTCCAGTCCAGGCTTGATTGGAGGGGAATTGGTGAAGGTGGAGCATCAGCCAGGCAGGAGGAGCAGGAACGGCCGCTGCCGTCCAGGCACCGGCTCCCTGTCAAGACATCCTGTCTCTTGGTGCCCAGAGCGTTCGCCTCCTGAGTCAAGAAATTCTGGTACCTGCCCCAGCAAAAGTCATGATCTGCTTACTCACTTTGCAGGTTCCCCCTGTACGTTGGTGGGTGCATTTAACGCATCTCCCCAGTCACTCAGGAGGCCAAGTCGGGTCAAACGGCAGAGCAGTATGAGGCGGGAAGTATTCTGCTGTGATCGTGTCCAGCAGCGTCTTAATTTCAAACAGCCCAGGCACCCAGAAAGCGTATCGTACGCCAGCATCTGTCGTAGTTAATAGGGCTGCAGAGCACAGTCCACTAACATATTGGTAGATCAAAGCGTCTTCTCTTTCCTAACCCTTTAACAGGAAGACTAAGACACCGGTTCCAGATGTTTCCAGCCAGTGGGGCTTTAAATCTACATCCAAAATGGAATGTTTTCCAAAAATTGGGGCATGTGGGTTTGATAACAGTATCCAGGACAACAGAGAGAAGACTCTGAGCTGCAGGCTGGGATTGGGATGGGGGACAGGGGCGCTGCCTTGCCTGCTGGGTCCCACCGCTGGGTACAGCTGCAGCAACAGCTACCCATGGGGCTTACTGACGAGCAGCCGCAGCCCTTGGAAGAATGAACGGTGGACTGTGGCCTCCACGGTGACTTGCCTTTAATTCTTTCAGCTGCAGGATGCCTTGAAGTGTCAGCACTGCAAAAAGCAGTTCAAGTCCAAAGCTGGGCTGAATTACCACACCATGGCTGAACACGTCAGCAAGGTAAGAGAGCTGGGCTGCTTTCATCTCGCGCCTTGTTTCTCCATGCAGATGCAGAAGACGAAGCAATCGGCAGTCCGCTTTCCTTTGTCTTTGTAAAGGAGGGATTCACAACACCATCTTCGCAGCATTTCACAAACTGCTCAGTCCAGACGGTGGCCTTTCCCCTTCCCTGCCGAGCAAAGCCATTCCTTCCCAGGCAGCTAGTTAGGCTCACGTTGATCCCAGGGAGTAGAGCAGAGGACTGGAAAAATAAAACAGGATTTCGGGGGAAGATTCAGTGAGTACGGTGAGGCGGATTTTGAGTGGCAAAGCTCTGCCTCCAAAACTGTGCCCGCAAATCTGGGACTGATGGGTTCTGCCTTGCACGAATCTCAAAATCCCGTCTTTAGCTCTCCACTGTGCATGTGAGAAGTAGCCACAAAATTTACCGTGAATAAAATCTGGCAGGCACCGATTTAGGTGCTGTTCTTAAAAATCTGGTTGTGTATGTCTCCGAGACACCAGAGCAAGGCATAACTGCATTTCTACATGTCCTGTGCTTACCAGTTGTGACTTGTCTTTTACCTGTGCATTAATCTCCTGCTCTTCAGTCTGACTGGTGAATCCTCCGTGCAGGAACTGCTCCTGGGTTTCTCAGCTGGCCCTTTGGGTGCAAACACGGGAAAGGCATGAGCAGATCTGGCACCTAATGATGAAGGCGTTGGCATGCAGTAAAGCAGTGGGAGATCCAGCTCTTCTAACGAGAGGTTCCCACCAGCCAAGGGCAGCTCTTGCGAGGCAGAGGTTTACCACCCACTCCTGGCACAGAGGACATGAGTAAATGGTTGACTCTGTCGCTTCTGTTACTTCCTTGTTTCCAGCCTGTTCCTGTGGAAACCG